TTTCTGGTTCATTGTTATATGCTTTTATAGCGAATGACATCACCGGTGAACTGCCTGCTAAAATTTGATATCAATAAGACTAACAGAAATTGAAATAACGACCGATTAACGGACAGACTGACCGATCCACCTACTGATGAATGACCGACCGACACTAATAAATTGTCTTTTAAATTTGAAACCAATAAGAATAACAAAAATTGGAAAAATATATGTTAAATTTAGTGGGGAACTACCGACTATGACATGCGACATTATTGGTCTCACTAATAATGGTGTGATTAGTGGTTACCGAGATAAATACCAGATATCATAATATAGGCATAGTTGGCCATTTAAAAAAAAATCCCCTCACAGGTTTACTTCCCATTAGGACATGTGCAGATGTGCAGACAACCTGATTTTAGTTCCTCGCATGTTTTTCTGCCAATGGTATGGTAGCATTGTAATATTCTACATTAATTGGCGATAGTACACTGTAAAAAATGTCAGTAATTTTACGTTTACCGTAATTAAATTTACTGTAAAAATAAGGGTCACTACCGTGTGATTGTATTTTTACGGTATTTTTTATATAATAATACGATAGATTGGTGTTTTGTTGTATATTTCCGGTATCATATCGTTTTTCTACAGGTTAAAAATCGTCTGTGTATTTCGACGGAAATGTTATGTAAATATACGGTGAATTCGTAAATTCAATGTGTTTGGCGGTTAAATTACGTCGTCATATTACTGTTTTCCGTAATTTAACAGGTCAAAATCAACATTTACGTTAATTAACGTTGGAGTTCGTAATGTTCATTTTATAAACTGGCTTAATTTTACAGTACAAAATATTGTTTTAACAAGTACTATGAATGTTAACGGTATTTTTGTATAACAATGATGAGACTGTGAACTCACACTTCGCGATGTTAAATAACGGTTCATCTTCGCGGGTAAAATTAACATTGTTCAGTAATTTTACGTTCGCCGTTGTAATCCTACTATCAGTAAAAAATTGTCTGTTATTTTACGTTTACTGAAATCCAATTTACTGTGAAAATAACGTTAACTACTGTAAAATTGTATTTTAACTGTATCTTGTATAATAAAAATACGATGTTGTTGATTTGTTGTAGCCTAAATTACCGGTATCATATCGTTTTTCTACAGGTTAAAATCGCCATTGTGTTTTAACGTCAGAGCTCGAAATTTAAACTATAAATTGATATAAATTTGCCTATCTTAACCGTTAAGTATTGTAGTAATAAAGAAAAGGAATTGCTATGTAAATATACGATGAATTCGTAAATTTAATGTGTTTAATGGTTAATTATACGTCGTCATATTACTGTTTTCCATAATTTAACAGGTCAAAGTTGGAGTTCGTAATGTTCACTTATAGGCCTAAACTGGCGTAATTTTACAGTACAAAATATTGTTTTAACAAGTACTATGAATTTTAACGGTATTTTAACAATGATGAGACTGTGAACTCACACTTCGCGATCTTAAATAACGGTTCATCTTCGCGGGTAAAATTAACATTTTTCAGTAATTTTACGTTCGCCGTTATAATCCTACTATCAGTAAAAAAAATGTCTGTTATTTTACGTTTACTGAAATCCAATTTACTGTAAAAAATCGCCATTGTGTTTCGTCAGAGCTCGAAATTTAAACTATAAATTGGTGTAAATTTAGGCCTACCTAACTAAACCGTTAAGTATTGTACAGTGTTAAGAAAGAAAAGGAATTGCTATGTAAATATACGATGAATTCGTAAATTAATGTGTTTGCTGGTTAATTTTACGCCGTCATATCACTGTTATCCGTAGTTTAACAGGTCAGAACCAACATTAAGTAAATGAACATCGGAGCTCGTAATGCTAAGCGTAATTTTACAATTTCAAAACTTCTTTTACTGTAAATAAAAAGTAGGCCTACTAGGCCTAGGCATACGTATAACGGTGTATTTTTGTAACAACGATGATATTGTGAATTAAACGCTGACATTATTCTGCTAATGTCATACAGTATTAAAATTTAAATTGGCGTAAAGGAGCCCTATTCCACCTTGATCGTGTCAAATATTTTGGAATTCCTTGAAATTATATATTTTTAAACATTGTTATTAATATACGTTCCCTAACGTAAAATTAAAGTGAAACCATTTATTTGGCGCGCTTACGATCACGTGACATCTCAGTTTATGACGCAGTATGACACACGCATGCGTAGTGTGTCGACGTGGAGGCGCGGACAGGCGCACGCAGTGGTATGTATGGAAGAGGAGAGCACATGTAAAGTTCGTTTACGTCGGTTCTTTATCTTGGAAAACAAAAGGATCGGTGAGTTCAGTAAGTTTTCATTGCACAAGAACGTATATAGATATATCCTTTTTTAATTTCCAATTATTACTTATAGGCACTAGTTATCTTTGGTAAAGTTAAAGCGACCTAGGCCTAGACTAGGCCTAATTAGCCTACTGTACTACTACTAGGCCATAGGACTAGGCATAGGCCTACCTAGGGCCTGGCCCTAGGCAGGCTAGTTGAAGATTGAAAGTAAGTAGGCAAGGCCTAGGACTTGCCAGGTTAGGCCCGATAGTGTACCGAGTTAGCTTAGCTAGGCTACTGCAATGGAGAGCAGACGTTCAAGACCTGGCCATCAACATTTGGGAGCGATACTTTGATTACCAAAATATAAATGAAACGATTTATCCTCTCTTCGGCATTTTGACACCTTTTCTAAAAGAATCTGTTTTCCGACAAGAAACAAAACACGAAACTTAAGTACATCATTAATCGATTCCTTGCCTTGGCCTCAAACCTACAGGGGTATAGACTGACACCAAACTCACCTTCATATCATTTATGATTAGGATAAAGAAGTTATATTATTTTGAATTGTTTCACATCTAACTTGTGAATTTTTTTGCACTCTCTCAATTTTATTTATTGGCCTGCCCTGTTCCGGATTTGGACCAATTTAAAAAAATAAAGGTATCAAAATACTGAAGACAATACTTTTTCATTAAGATAATTATGTACATTTGATATAATTCACCCATTTATAGCCCACAAATAATAACTAGAGTTGCAATCCCATAAACCGAATTCGAAAGAAACATTTTCTACATTGTTGCAATGTTAGAGAAGTGAAGTGAAAATACCTAATAAATTAAGCTTTTTCAGTAGAACTTAATATCTTCCAGTTGTCACCTTTTGGATTTTAAAGACTGAAATTATAAGATATCTTCCAGTTGTCACTTTTTTTATTTTAAAGACTAAAATTATAAGATAAGGGAAGCAAAATTACACTTTCATTCAAAATTTCCACAACTTTTTGTATGTAAAAATGAAATCTGAACACTGTTTTAACATAATAAATATTCATAGATGTATGTCAGTCATTACAGATAATTATGGAAACTGTTAGTGATTCATGTTTTCGAATTTTGATGAAAGAAAAACGTTTGGGAAAACTGAATGAGCTTGGTGTGGTCCATGAAGTGGATCTTGCACTAGTTACAGAAGGATGACATTCTAAAGGCCATAGATGTGCACAAGTGTAGTACACATTTTATAAAAGGTAAGATGTAATGTATGGATAAGGTGTGTTGCCAAACAATAATTGTCATTTTATTCTGATTATGATTGCTTGGAGACTGTATGATCCAAATGAGTTTGGCATTTGACAAATTACCATGCTACTTTTCAACTTGCCAGAATTTAACCCACAACTTTTGATGGTTAAAATATTTATAATCTTCCAACCTTTGGAAGAAAACTATTAAAAAAATATCAATGCTTTCTTAATGTTTAGATGTAATTACACAACAAAATAAATGCATTGATTTAGTTACAAGATACATGCTACAATTATGTGCCCAAAATCCAGGATGTATTTATTTTCTTTGTCTGAAGTTTTAATTGTTTAGTGTTGTGTTACTCAGTCTGAATTTTCTTTTTTCCATGCGCCTAGTCGCCTTTTAAAAATGTAATATTGAGTGGCCATATATATCTTTGCGTGATAAAAACTATAGGATAAGAGTCCACTAGCATGGTGTTTGAGATGTTATGTTTTGAAGTAGCATTGGGGTTAAAGCAGTGCAATTCTATAATTATTATTTGTACAGTAGTTACTGTGCTGTGGATTAAAAATATTTTAAATATTGATTTCTATAGAGCAAAGGAGTCACTTAGACACAGAAGCATTTCAGTCTATGACAGTGGAAACAATCCTGGTGATGTCTACTGGAACAAGGTAGCTAATCAAGTTAAAAAGTACTTTCAGAAAGGGGAATGACAACTACCTTCGTCAAAAAGAATTAGCTGGTCCGATATTGTTGATGACTCTACGTATGAAGATTTGTATTTAAAATTTGTTAGTAGCTCTCAATCAACAATTATGATATTGTTTTTATTGGTGAGTCAGTACAACATAGTGTATTGCAGTTCTTTGTAATATGTAACCTAATGTTAAGCTAACTACAAGTATCTGTATTCCATGAGTCACTAGCATTGAAAGTCCAATTGCCCAGCTAATTTACTAACTTATTGTAACTTGTTAAAATTATGATTAAAATGTAATAAATCTTAATTTTAATTACAAGGAATTACAGACAAGGTGTTTTTTAGGTACATTTATCCAGAAGTGTGGTTTCCCTAACTAATGAATTTATGATTGCTTTAACAGAGAAGAGAAAATGGAGTAAACGAGTGATGGATCTCTACAGCCAAGGAAGTTCTTTGCAGGAAAGTGGAGGAAAAATGGCCAGCCTTTTGATTTTCGCACCGAATAGTACAATTAAGTGCTGCTGGCCGGGAGATCCTGACACCATGTATTAGTACACTCCGTCATCTTCATTTTCTTCTTCTTTTCATATTATCTAGCCTGCAAGTTATGTACCTGTCTCTTATACACATCTAGATGTGTATAAGAGACATGATTATTGCATTCTACTAAATTGTATTGTATAGATATTACTATAAATGTTGATTTATGTTTAACGATTCAGTTTTACTTTATGCATTATAATTAAACTAGTGTGGTAACTTAGAAATAATATGTACCGTACTATTTATCTTCTTAGTAACAGCAAGCCAACTAAGTTCTCTTATTCTGATTATTCATAGACATTGTATTTCATAATTTAATATTACAGTAAGAAATACAACATCATTTCATGATTTATTATTATAGTAACCAAGATTTCACTACATTTTGTTCTGCAGTTTTTATGATAGTTAATAATTAAGTAAGAAAAAGTACATCAGACATCTGTTGAGGCTCGTTTTTCTTCAACAAAGGCGTGTATTGTAGTTACAAATATAATTTAAAAAAAAACAGTCTAATGAAGATTCTTTAAAACATTTCTTAAACTATAGACTTTATAAACAATTTTCGTTATTTTGTTTACTTTTGTTAGCCACCAAAAATGTACTGGGAATTTTTGCAAAGGTAATTCAGACAGTAATTTATTGTATTTTTACAGAAATTATTTTTAATAAATTTAAAATTGTAATTCTACATTATTAACAGTTGACAAGCTTATTATTTACGTCACCTGTGTATTCTACGTTACGGTTGACGACCGGAATTCATATTGACAATAATTTACAGTATTTTTCCAGGAATTACTTATTTACAGTACCTGTGATTTTACATTACAGTTGACAAACAACATTTAACATTGACAGAAATTTAGCGTATTATTAAGGAATTAATTATTCACCGTACTGTGATTCTACATTACGGTTGACGACCGGCATTGAGATTGACAGTAATTTTCCGTATTTAGACAGGGAATAATTATGAACGGTAAACGTGATTCTACATTACGGTTGACGACTGGCGTCCTGATTGCCAGTATTTTGACGGTATTTTTACAGGAATAAATTAATAACGGTCCTGTGATTCTACATTACGGTTGAGACTGGCATCCTGATTGCCAGTATTTTGACGGTATTTTTACAGGAATAAATTATTAACGGTCCTGTGATTCTACATTACGGTTGACGACTGGCGTCCTGATAGCCAGTATTTTGACGGTATTTTTACAGGAATAAATTAATAACGGTACCTGTGATTTTACATTACGTTTGACTACCGTATTTCGATCAATAGTAATTTACCTTATTTTTACAGAAATTTATTTTTAACGGTAAATGTAATTTTACATTACGGTAAAGTACTGGCGTCCTGGTTGCCAGTATTTTGACGGTATTTTTACAGGAAAAAAATAATAACGGTACCTGTGATTTTACATTACGTTTGACTACCGTATTTCGATCAACAGTAATTTACCGTATTTTTAAAGAAATTAATTTTTGTATTTTTACAGAAATTTATTTTTAACGGAAATGTAATTTTACATTACGGTAAAGTACTGGCGTCCTGGTTGCCAGTATTTTGACGGTATTTTTACAGGAAAATTTTTAACAGTGTAGTTACATTAGCTGTGAGGCAATTTTCGTTACTACATTAGCTGTTGAGCGTTTTACATTAGCTGGGGTTGATTTTCTTTTTACTACATAAGCTGTTGGTGTTTCTACATTAGCGGGGAGTTTTAATACATAAGCTGTTGAATGTGCTACATTAACTGTTGATACCACATTAGCTGTTGTTTTCTACATTAGCGGTTGTAACAGGGGCGCTTATTCAAAAGGGGCGCGTATTCGCACAAGTACGGTACATGTGATACCAGCACTGTTGTGTTACAATATTTATTGTTATTATTGTTATTTTGATTTATTTTTATATAACACTGCGGGTTTAATAAATATATGGTTTAAAATACAGGCGCTACTTTTTGATACTCTGTTACTAGTTAACATATTTTGTTAATGTTATATTTCAATTGGGTTCCAATGAGTATAGCAAATTCTTATACGAAGCCCCTATAAATGATGAAATGTTCCTGGGTGGGGATTTCCTCCATCTAACAAAATAACTGATTTTGAGAATTGGATTCAGTGCAAGACACCCACCTACATTATTGGAGTATTGTATTGCATCCTGTAATATTGCTTTAAGCGAGGATAAAAAAAACCCTACCAGGGGTAGCTCTAAGTGAAAGAAGATGGCGGTGGGGCAGGGTACCGTCGGGGAGCAAAACCACTGTTTATATGTATTTTCTATGATAAATGAATGACATAGTTTCTTATATCTATTCTCCATAATCTTACGTTTAACCATAGTAAATCATTAGTATGATATATTGATATGTTAAATTTAACTGTTTTGCATGTTGTGTCTGTTCTTCATAAACTTAAATTTAACTATAATAGAACATTTGTATGATATATTGATATGTTAAATGAGTATAAAAACAGAGTGGAAATTGGGGGACGGTTATGGAAAAAGATGAAAATCGAGGGGTTCTTATGGCAACTTATTATATTTAAAACACACTATTTGAATGAAAAAAGTTTATATAAAGGCATTACGAATGCGGGTGCGGCGGAAATGATAATCGTCCAGAGAACATATTCTCATTTTGATATTGACCTAAGAAGAATGTGATTGCACTCTGCAGCTCAAATCATGCCAACAACCAGTCCCAGGATTGATTGGATTATTGACTTGCTAAAAAGAAAATTTTATGATATTATTAAGGGGCACTTATTCAAACGGGGCGCTTCAGGAAATGTTCACGTTAGGAGAGGCGCTTATTCAAACGTGACGCTTATTCGCGCGAGTACGGTACATGTGATATCAGCACTGTTGTGTTACCATATTTATTGTTATTATTATTTTGATTTATTTTTATATAACACTGCGGGTTTAATAAATAGATGGTTTAAAATACAGGCGCCACATTTTGATACTCTGTTACCAGATAACATATTTTGTTAATGTTATATTTCAATTGGGTTCCAATGAGTATAGCAAATTCTTATACGAAGCCACTATACATGATGAAAATGTTCCTTGGTGGGGATTTTCTCCATCTAACAAAGCAATAACTTATTTTGGGAATTGGATTCAGTGCAAGACACCCACCTACATTATTGGAGTATTGTATCCTGTAATATTGCTTTAAGCGAGGATTAAAAAAAACCCTACCAGGGGTGCTCCAATTGAGGGAAGAGGGCGGTGAGGCAGGACAACGTCGGGGAGCAAAACCACTATTTATATGTATTTTCTATATATTAACAGACCTAAAAAATCGATTATAAGCCTTTGAAACCCATAAATTGTAAAAATTCTGGGGGCGCCCCCTAGACAACTTTCGGAATATTAAGCAGCGCCAGACCACTCCCACTTTTCTGTCGTCGGGGACCTCGGACCCCCTCCCCCATCGTGCAAGTCCTGGCACCATCCCTGAGCCTCTACTCGACCTTTATCGTATCGTATGCAATAATACTATATTGGCGCTGCGAGCGAAAACTTATTTTTGAATGCTGGTACTATCCTCTGTGGTGTTTTACGTAGTACATTGGCATTATTTGCTGCTCTATACAATTATTTGCAT